GAGTTGTTTGACTTCAGCACCTTGTTTATCAGAGTGGATAGCAACAACTTATCTGATTAACACGTCTTTGTCTGGGTGAAGCTATATAATCTTCAACGTCAGAATCTAGTCTTTCTGTACTTGGTCTTCAGAGCCTTCAGCCTTCAGAGCTTCAAGTCATCAGAGTCTTCGACACGTAGTTCTTCAGAGGATTATATCTTCAGAGTCTTGATCTTCCGAACCCTTAAGTCTTCAGATTCTTTCTGCACTTGGTCTTCAGAGCCTACAGCCTTCAGAGCTTCAAGTCATTAGAGTCTTCAGAGCTTGGTTCTTCAGAGGACTATATCACAGATATGTTATTAACTTCCAGATCAGATACACATCTCAGAGCAGAATCCACAGGAGCATTGCAACCGCAATATCCAACATCCTTGGATCTTACTAATCGTGATCAGATACAGAGGCAAACTTGCTTCTTCAATATGCTTTGTTTGCTTTCAGATCAGATGCACTTCTCAGAGCAGAATCCACAGGAGCATTGCAACAACAATATACAGCATCCTTGGATCTTTCTGATCGTGATCAGATACAGGCGCAAACTTGCTTCTTCAATAAGCGCTTTATGACACTTCACACATAGTAACTCTCATATTGTATTAAATGCACATCTTGATATTGTTTGTTTGATCTGGTATCTGTAATTAACATGATCTGCACACAACAAACATTAGAACATAAAATGGTTCTTTCACAAATACTTAATTGTTATCATCTAAACATAGAGATAATCTTGCAGAGACAATTCTTGTTCTTACGTTAATGACTATGGGTACTTGTAAGAAATTATGGGAATTGGAGCCGTAAATATGATATGGGATTGGCCTAATAAGTCGTAGATTTTGTGTCTTTATCGTCGTAATACCTTAGGAATGATTTAGGGATGTTTTTGGGGTATTGGGGAAGGAAATCGTAGGGACTTTGGACTAATTTTGCTACTGTTGCATAGCAGCAATTTGTTGTAATCGCGAGTTCGCACAACGAATGATGCTTCGCACGACGAACATTCGCCCTAGACTCGCACGACGAACTGTCCAGCGAACGTAACAGAGTTTTACGAATTGTGTCCTTGTGCAATGCTGTCTTGATGTTTTGATGCTGTGATTTTCTTGATGAATTACCGTAAGTATAATTGTGAATTTTATGAGAATAATACATGACTGTATAATGAATTCCCATGAGTAATTGTGATTGTTTATGATGTTGATTCCATGAGTTTTTGATGATTATACGATGACATGATCATTATGATGATTTTGATGAACGATGATGAACCTAATGAGTTTATTATGAGGATGATATTGACGTGTGCATCATGCATTCATATGCATTCCGAACTTCGGTCTAGTGTTTGATTCTTGTGGCTTCATTCCCATTGTGCGGATGTGAAGTATTTTGTTGTGCTCCGGTTCTTGTGTAGAATCGATCCTATTGATGGGGATCTATGGAGGGTTGATGGCTTAGTGTCCATCGAACTTTGATGAATTGGTACCACATGCATGAGTCTTGTTGCATTTGCATTTATGTTACAATTTGATGTAATTTATGATATTATGGCTTTTTGATGTTTCCTTGATGATTATGATGATGTTGAATACAAAAATGACGCTATTTTATATATTGATTCCTATATTTATTATTATGAATCGTTTTACTCACCCTGCCTGTTTGAATGTTGCCTCCGCGTGGGTAACGTGCAGATGACCAGGTTTAGCCTTGGATGTCGTTGAGGACTTTTTGGAGTTTTTGACTTTTGGTTGACTTAGAGGGTCTTCCTCTAATAGTGTAACATCGAGTTGGGGTCTTTGAGTTAAACCATATTTTATTGATTATTGTTATTTTGATTATGTTGTTGCGCAAGGAAAACTTTGGATTTTTCCTTTTTGAGTTCCACTGCCTTTTGAGCAATTTTTGAGTAATTTTGAGAAAATCCGTTGTTTACGGAGCATTGACTTTGATTTGAATTATTGAGAAATGTACGCCCTTTGAGGTGATTTTTATTATGTTTAAAATATTACTCTGATAAATGTGAATGATTTGCCATTATATTTTTGGGGTAGAAAAGGGTGTTATATTAGATTTAGTTGTCTTGTTACTCATGTTTTGATACCGACCATGACGTTCTATGTAATTCTTCTTAAGGTTTAATATTGATATATTTTTTATTCTTAATGCTTGTTTTGGATTAGCTACCTAAAATATGTTTCTGTGGTATGACTTGATATTTGAAAGGTACTAATCATTACTAGATCCAAGTCTGTTATCTATTAGGTGTTAAAGTCTAGATATAGATTTAGGTTTAATATGTGCGTTTAATGTTGATATTGATGAATTGATCATTAATTTCTGCATTCACAATTGAAACTTAATAATGACGTCCAACTTGAATATATCTCAAGACTCATCTTAAAAAAAATTCAAGTGAAGTGCTTATCTTATTTGCGTATTTGACAAATGACTTAAAGTTTCAGGGTATGAAAGAGAGGAAATGTGAAAGTTTGTCTGATCGTGTCCGAGTGATCAATTTTTTGTAAAAATACAAGGGAATTTTCGTAAAGTAATATGGATAAATGGCGCACTCACTAAAACACCTTTTAAAACATCTATTTCTCAAAGAAAATAACCTAAAAATGTTTGGAGTCTATCCAGATGAATTAACTGTTAGAATGATTAAGACATGTGTTTTGAACTGCCCAATCGATTTGACCATACACCCATTCGATTGGATAAGAGAAAAATGAATCCATAATCGATAATGACAGTGTCTTAATGAAAGATAGCGAGTCTCTATCAAATCTTTCTAAAATGAGCAAAATAATCGATTATTTAAGTAATCCAATCGATTGGAATGATGACCCAATCAATTCGACAATTAATTTTGTCCAGGGATAGTTTCCCTTATTTAACCAACCTTTGATCTATAAATATAAGTCTCTCCCATCATTCTTACACATATAGAAACGTAATATTTCTCACATTCATCACACACACTCTCTAAAATATTTCCATTTTCTCTCACATAATTAATTTGTCTATAGTGTTTCGAGAAAGGATTTTGTATTTAAGTGATGAAATTGTTCTGGAAAGATTGATATTATAAATTCACCAAGAGTTATTTTTCTTCTTGAGTGAATATATCTTTTTTAGAAAGTGTTTGTTTGGTTTCGAAGTTAAACCCGTTAAAAGTTTAGGTTAGGGGATTTAGCATTAAGTCTTTGTTTGGTTATTGAGCTCAAATGATTCTTGAAGAAAAACTCTCTTTATGAAAAACTCTCTTGAGCTCTTGATTCTTGAAGAAACTAGTGAAAAATCTTCTCATGATTCTTGAGCTCATTCCGATATAAAAGCTCAGTTGGTTCAAGATAAGTCTGCATAAAATCTCGATTTGGTTTGTTGTCAGTCTGTGTAAAACTTCTATTTTGTTCGGAGTATATCTAGTTCAAAACCCCGCATTGGTTTGAGATAAGTCCGTATAAATTCTTGGTTTACCTTTGAGACTAACCGCTCGAAGTTTCGTTCATGTTTGAAAGAAAGACTAACTGCTTCATTTCATTATTCGCTGTTTGGCTGGAAGTTAACCTCAAACTTTATTTTTTCTTGTATAAGGGGGCTCGCGAGCTTAACCCACTAAAAGTTCATAATCATTATTGAAAACTCTCAAGGTTAATTCTTGAAGAGAAGAGTAAGTCATTTCATTTAAACCGAATTTCTATAAATATATGATGTCATCTCTTTTTCTTTATCTTTTACTTCCTGCATACTTTCTTTACATTGTTTTTCCGCTGCAATATTAAAAAAAAATTAAAAATGTTTTTGAACTTTGATTTAAAAAGGCAAAATATCCTTCTTGGTCCCTTAACTATACCTCGGGGTTCATTTTGGTCCCTTAACTTTAAAAAGTTTCATATTGGTCCCTTAACTCTTCAAACGTTCCATATTAGTCCTTTTTTGACCTATTAGCAACGAAAAAAAAATCAAAAAACCGTCGCTAATAGGTCAAAAAGGACTAATATGGAACATTTGAAGAGTTAAGGGACCAATATGGAACTTTTTAAAGTTAAGGGATCAAAATGAACCCCGAGGTATAGTTAAGGGACCAAGAAGGATATTTTGCCATTTAAAAAACAATTATATTTTAAACAAATGTTTTTCAAATCCCACAATTCACCTCTTTTTATGTGTGGAGTCACATAATCTTGGCTCCCTCATCTAATAGGTATATTTACCAAATTGATATATTTACCAATTAGATGTTTATGCATTCTTGCATGCTAATATAGATGAAGATATCTACATGAAATTACCTATGTTCTTAATTGCTCTAGCAAGAATAGTGTCTGCAAGCTAAATAAATTTATTTATGGTCTTAAGCCAACAAGTATGCAGTGAAACACAAAATTATCATGTTGTTATTGATTTTCACTACAACTCAGCACTCAGAATTCTACACTAAAAGCTTTCAACCCTATTTTTTACGAACACACGAAAAATGAACTATCTTGTTAGAGATAAAAAAAACTTTCAAACATACACATAACTGTGCATGGCAGAAATTTTTTCAAAATGAACTTTAATTGGAGTTCTAATAAAAAATTCCCATGTTTAAAATGTGTTGCTAGATTATTGAATCTAGGTTTCACTTTATTCAAGCAACAGCAATTCCAGCATGATTTGTTAGGTCATCACAACCTCAATGCATCCAAAATAAAATGAAAAATCACAAGTAAAAACTTCTGTTGTGTTCCACTGGTTACAAAAATAAGCACAAAGTGTTCTCCCTTACACGCTATAAAGCATGCACACAGACAAATTCATAAAAACGACACTAACACGTCAATACTAGTAATAATTCCAACACGTATCCAAAAACAACAAACTCGTCATCTTCAATTCGAAGTGTCAATGCAACATAGTTTGTATGTATTTCACAAAACTTTTTTTTAGATTCGCATGTAAAAACATAATCAACAACTAATTCCACACTGTTTAACATCAGGCCCTTTAGTTTTCAACACAAAAGGATCAATTCTCACCCAAACCAAAGAGAATATAGAAGCCAAAAGCACAGACCAAATAACAATAAGAGTTGGTGTCCTATTCTGTCTCCCCATTAGTCCTTTAAGAAAAGGATAAAGATGAGCAATAACCCATGAAGAAAAGAACAGTTTCCCAATCAATGGTCCCCATTCATGTTCACCACTATTTATAGCATCCGTGAAACCCGCCACAATGCCAATAAGGTTGATTATTGTGACTGTTGTTGGAGGTATCAGCAATGCTGTCCATCTAATCGTGTACAACTCGATAAACTGCCCGTCGTCGTCTGGTGCTTTCGATACAATGCTGAAATGCGCATTAACTTTTCCGAGAAACCTTCCCATTAGGCGCTGCGCGATTGCAAAAAGGTGCGCTGATACACTTCCAATGACCCAAAACTGTTGATTTCTCCACCATTCCTCAAGAGTAACTCCACTCCATCTCAATTCAAGAATAGCCGATGCGAAGATTGAGATGAATAGAGAAATGAATACTAGGCTCGCAAAAGTTCCTACCTGAACATTTTTACACATGCATCCAATCAAATCACGATGTGATATTGTATACAAAATATAAATCCAGAAAACGAATAGAAGAAAATGGATTACCGACGGTGTGATGAATTTATCTGTAAGTAAGCAGACGGCGGGAATGATACAATAGATAATGAGAGGTAATGCACTAAAAGGGTAGACAGTGCTGTTAATATAGGCAATCCTCTGGAGAACCTTGAGTCTTCCTTCTTTAAAACCGTACCACAACGGACAGTGGCGGCTGAATAGGATTTCGAGTGATCCTACTGCCCATCTAAGAACTTGGTTAAGTCTTTCTGTGAGATTGATTGGTGCCGTTCCTCTAAATGCAGCTCTCTTTGGCATGCAGTATACCGATCTCCAACCGCGAGTATGCATTTTCAAACTTGTTAGAGTGTCGGCTGCAATAGATCCATAGCTCATACCAACCTGTTGATGGAAAAAAATCATCAAGAAGTTTCAATAATGCATTTGTCTGTCTTATTTGATAACTTGTGAACCAAGTTTTGTCCTTTCTATAACGCGCTGTGTTATTTTCACACCCGCGCTGTGCTATTTTCACACAAATAATTTTCGACACCAGTTTAGATGGTTAACAAGTTGTTATATACACCTGAAAGATCTTAAGTACAGTAGAAAGTTGTATTTGAACATGGTATGTATTCAAATATACACCGCGAAATTGTATTTGAACTGTGTTAACCGTTCAAACTATTATCAAAATTTGCGTGTCAAAGTATCATTTTTAGGGCCATGTTTGAGAGCGTATAAGACAGACTGGGTCCAAAATTTTCACTTTTAAACTGTGGGTAAATAGGTTTAAACTGTAGTTAAATAGGGTTTCATGAAATATTGTCATAGTTAAATAACGCGCTTAAATAGAACATTTATTTGTTTTGCCATGATTAAACTGCAGATAACCTACACAATGCCTCTAAAAACTTGAGACGGATCTTATCATTTCTAATCTATAATGTACCTCGTATCCCCACAGAGTTCGATCTTCGTAGCTACAACTCATGACATGAATGGCTTCTTTAAGCAACGCTTCTTGAGTTGAAGAAGGATCTACACCACCTTCTTCTGTTAATGAAGAATTCATGAAGAGTGTAGACTTTCCGAATTTATCTTCAGTGTTCATATCTGATTGCAATAGCTGCTTATCTTCATCAGTTGCTTCTATAAAAAGAAAAATATGTTATGGAAATGGAAAACGGTTGTTTTGTTTGTTTTTTTAGTAAAATTAGCCTAACCTATAATGCTTGCATCCTCTCCATTTTCATCTTGTTTTGAGTGAACTTGTACGACTTGAGAGCGCTTAGTTGTCTTAGGAGGTTCAAAGCCATTTAAAGCTTTTCTTCTGAATATACAACCTGATCCAATATAAACAGGTCCTTGAATTCCATCTAGACACCTCAGGGTAATCTGCAGAAGAACAAAATAGAAAGGATATCATGTTATTGTCGAATTCCGTTGACACGAATTCAATGAACGCGGTAGATGAATTCAAGATTTTAATTTGATACTTGCATCAAATAAAATGGTGTTTTTGTTAGCGTAACGATCATTCTTATCAAGGCTATCGAATCTTAGAGGAAACTGGACAAAAGCTATACTATTCCCAAGTTGTATGTCCATAAAGAAACACATGGCTTCTCTAACAACCCTGCTGTTGTTCACATAATGATTGCAATCCAAGTTGAGCACAAAAGGAGCATTGCTCAACACTGCCGATACGCGAAGCTGAAACCAGAAGTTTAAAAGTTTTGCTTGATGAGTTTTGATTAGAAAAAAAAATAATGAATGTAATGATGAAACTTGGAGTATAAGTTACCAGGGCGTTCATTGCACCGGCTTTTGTGTGATGTTGAAATGCAGGCCTTTTCTCTCTAGAGATGTAGACAAGTGATGGAAGTTCATTCCCTTCATTGTCTCCTCCATTATGACCAAGAAGGATTTGAATCATACTTGGATGATCTTTTGTATTGTTTCCTGGCCACGGTGTTTCGTCTTTCATACTCCACCCTTCGGACGGAACTCTCATGGATTTAGCCACAAGTGCATTTATTCTCACCTTAAATTCTTCATATTCTCTCTGTTAGCCAAGTGTTAAAGAAGTGTTAGTTTTGACTAATAGATATTCAGAATTCCGCAGTTAAGCGTGCTCAGACGAGACAAGTACTAGAATAAAGACTTCCTTGAAAGTCCTTGTGTTGCAAATTGTCGAACTTTGTTGTTTAATTGATGTTGAAATAACTTTTTTGAAATTTATTACATGTTTGGTACTAACCTTCATAGTTCGGCGTTCTTTTACATACGAGGTTTGAACCTTATCCTTCAAAAAGTCTATCTTCTCAGAGAAGTACTTCTCGGGAGCTCGAGGTTCCACAGAATATTGTTTACAGAAAGGTACCCATTTTTGCGCAAATTCAGCCGTTTCTTGAAGAGCTTCAAAGGTGAGCATGGAAGCCCCGTCATCAGAAACATAGCATGAGATTTTGCGCGCAGGATAATCTAGTGCCAAAATTGAAAGAATAGTATTTGCTGTAACAAGAGGTGGTTCCTTAATCGGATCTACCGTTGTCACAAAGATATCTATCGGAGAAAGCATATTCGGCTTGTTTTCCGGCTCAAACCTGCGTTACAGAGAAATCCATGATATGTCAGCTTAGCAGTAAGAGTTTATCCTTATAATCTCAAGAGACGGAGTTCAAATTCCCTTAGAGATAGTTGTAAAACGATTGATCACCTTACTGAAAGGCGGTCGAGATATGTTTCGCGATCAATAGGGAACCATTTAGGAATCTGATCAACCATCCATGACAATGCAAGCCAGATTTCACATGATACTGATATGAACCATAGTTCAATTGCTTCAGGTACTGGATGGAACATTCTGTACTCAAAAAAGAGTATTAGAAGGATGAGCCTAGCCACAACCATCATCCTATAAGGACTCAGTTTTCCTGAAGGTATTGCCACTTTTCTTGAAAGTGGTTGTCTAGTTTCATCTTTCCTGCACCCATCATGTTACACAAAACATTAACTAGTTTATATCTTGTTTGGATAAACAGATTAATTAATCACTTATTGTATAAGTGTTTATCATATAAATTGTTTTCATAACATACATACATGGCCTTTTCAGGATCAACTGCATCAGTTTCAATCAACAGATTGCCTTGCTGCGACTTCCACTCATCTGTTTTCTCCTTCCTATCTAATTTTGCACCACCGGGAAGCTCCCGATATTTAGTATTCTCATCATCATCATCTCTACTATTAATATCCTCTTCATGCATAAGCTTGTACTTTTCCTCTTCCATTTTAAATTCTTGTTCAATATCATCCACGTCTTCTTCATCTTCATCTCCCACCACTCTTGGACTACCTTTTGCATCGCAAGAAATAACAATCAATTATAAAGTTACATGATTAGAGAAATCCAGAAATCTACAGATACAGACATCAGACACAACACTGACACTACAGACAAGTGCCGTACTCCAGTCATACCTTTGATTCGCTTGTATCGTGTATGGCATTGAGGGCAAACTTGTGTGCCTTCTCTTCTTTCATACTCATAACATGGCCTGCAGACAGGGAAGCCACACTCTTCACAAGCTACAAACAAATCTCCATCTACTGTAAGTCCTACAGAATCGCCACATATCTCACATACTTGACCATCCAAGTTTTTCACTGTCTTAGGCTGCAGAAACACAAAAATCATTCATAAAATGTCTACAAATCGTAATACAATTATCAGCTAATTAGTTCTGTATGGTTTACCTCATTGTGTTCTTGGATGATAACAAGTTCATTGCTGTTAAGAGACCCTGCAAAGAGGCCACTCTTAGCTTTCATGATGAGTGTGCAAGGATGGAGAATCAATGGAGATATTAGTTATTATATATATGATATGATAACTCTTGTGGAGAAATAAGGTTAAGTTTTAAAGTATTGAGGTGCATGTTTTAATTTCATGTGTCATGTAAAGATACTATTGTTGGTTGTGGGGTTGTAAGTTGAAAATATAGTGCATCTTAATTCATGTGAAAGCAAGATATGATTTTGCTTTTATGAAATGTATAGCTTAACGCAGAGATATCTTTCTGAAATGGACATGTTTTTTTTGGTAAAGGTTAAGGTTATGTTTCGGTTTCATAATGTTTATACATAGTATTCTAGATATTTGACATGCTCACTACACCAAAATAAAAATAATACTAACAGTGAAGTTCAATTCTCATTCCTCATAAAAATAACATAACCTAAGTTACTTAAAGAAAAAACAGAAAGAAAAAAAAACTCCCTCCCTTCTCTCATGCTCAAATTATATATTATTTTATTTTATAAGAGACAACTCACTTTTTAAATTTATTAAATAATCAATATATTTGGTCAGTTTTTAGACTAAATATATTTATTATTCGACGAATCTAAAAAGTAAATTGTCCCTTATAAAAAACAACGGAGATAATATTATTTTAAAAAATCAATGAAATATTGAAATATTGTTGTTCAATACACTCTCTCTATTCTCTAAGAAAAAAATTGCAACTTTCATTGTTTTGTAATAAAATAAATTCCATTACATTGATTATTTATAATATTATTCTGTCCATATTATCCTTCATTATTTTTTTTCAATATCATTTTATTTAATTATAATTTTTTATTCCTAAAAGTGGAAAAATCATTTTAGTTTTATTTGTGTTAGATAATATGCAATAAACCTTTACTTATAATTAAATTATGTGTATTTTATTATATATTCTCTTTGCAACCCTTATTTGCATGTTAATTATTGAAATCCTAGTCTTTTCTTTCCTTCCATACTTTGTTATATCTATTGTTAATATGGTATATAGAGTTTGGTTCAATCATTCTTGAACTAATTGTTGCTTTTGCTATTGAGTTTTCAAAAAGTTCAAAATGTGTTTGTTTTGATTTTATAATGATAAGTTTATTGAAGAAAAAATCTTAATGTTGAATGGTTAAATTATTCTCGGGTTGTTTCGCTCTTTTGTGTACATGAAGATCAAGATTGAATTATACAAGACTTTGGTTGACTCTCTTCCTATTAGTTGTTTTCTCTCCATTGATTCTTCCTATTCTTATGGGTTCTTTTGTTTGGTCCTCTCTCTCTCTCTCTCTCTCTCTCTCTCTCTCTCTCTCTATATATATATATATATATATATATATATATATATATATATATATATATATATATATATATATATATATATATATATATATATATATATATATATATATATATATATATATATATATATATATCCCTCTTTGAGTACTCCTCTATTAGATCAAAGAGTTGACTCTTAATCGATTACTAAGTACCAACTAGTACTTATACTAGGAAAACACTGGCAACAAGAATTACTTGCTACAAGGTGGCTTGGTAACCAAGAAATGAACACAACTAACTACTTGAGATTACACAACAAACCCTACCTTACTTTGACTTCTCTAGATGGAAGTCTGAAGGTGAGAAAATACTTAGAAGGGGGGGGGGGGGTTGAATAAGTATGACAGAAAATAATCAAAGATAAAAACACAAGTATTTTTATCCTGGTTCGTTGAACTCAACTACTCCAGTCCACCCTTTTCAAGAGTGATTTGCCTTTCTCAACAAGGACTTAATCCACTATTCAAATCAACTGATTACAAATAGCACACCTAAGAACAACTGTTCTTAGTCTTCTTAAGAGCTACTGATCTAACCTAGATCCTCTTAAGGAAAACTTCCTTTACAAATTAATGTAATACAATGAAAGAGTAATAAATGCTTCTATGAAAGCTATAAACACAACTGTGTTATTTCTCTAAGTTTAGAACAGTGTATGAACAGCAAAGAATATGAGAGCTTGAGAGATTTTCGCGTGAGAGAAGATTTTCAATATTAGTCTTAATTCAGCACTTGAAGAATGAGCTATGATGTCCTTTATATAGCCACTTGAATATTGGAGAGAATATTTTACCGTTAGAGAAGATATTTCCAATATCAAAATAGTACTGTCCTTTGTACTATTACAGCAGAGAGACGGCGCACAAATAGTGGGTGTAGCAATTGTCTGCTGAGCTGTGATTATACCATATATGGAATGTACCAGAGGAATAATATTTTTGCAGAGAATTTTGTCTATCCCAATTAAGGAAAGATTTGCTGGCATATTCCAACGGATATATTAAAATAACCTTCTTCAAATAATTCTTCAAATAGTTCAGATCAACAATCAATATCAGAGCCTTCAGTCTTCAGATTCTTCTGGAAACTTCAGAGCATAAGATGTTCTTCAGATGTTGATGAATCAGAGTCTGGTGCAGCTGTGTGCTTGAAGCGTAACATGCTCTTAGATCAGAGTCTTCACTCAGATCAGAGTCTTCTCTCATTCAGAGTCTCTTCACTCAGAGTCTTCATTAATTCAGATTCTTGATAATACATGCAGCGTGTTGTATCTTCAGAATCTTGATAACAAAGCTCTTATACTTCAGATTCTTCTAATCTTCAGATGCTCTTGAGCCATTCAGAATTCATTGTTCACTTCAAATTTGCTCTTTAAGATTAAAATCTTTTGTGCCTGTAGAAAAACAGTTTAGAACAAATTTAGAGAGTATAATTCTTGTATACAAATTATCATTAATGTTATCATCAAAACATAGAGATATTACTGAGACACAATCTGTGCTCTTACAATCTCCCCCTTTTTGATGATGACAAAACATGAGCAATTTGTTCAAAAAAAAATATGAATTAAAATTACTCCCCCTGAGATTAACAATCTCCCCCTGAAATGAATACTCTGATGGAATTAGATACTTCCCTTTCTGGTTGAGTACATTTCAGATTCAGAGCCTGATTACACTTCAGATTCAGAGCCTGATTGAATTTCGGGTTCAGAGCCTGATTAACATCCTGATTGAAGCCTGGTTGACAAATCCTGGTTGACATATGTTTGACTTCTAGAGTCAAAGCTTGATGCCATATTAAAGCTTGATGCCAAAGCTTGATGTCATATTAAAGCTTGATGACAGATGAACAACTTCTGAACACTTGGTTGTTTATCTTGCCATATCCTGTCTTGAGTTATCTTTCAGATCATAGTACTCAAGGTTAGATATCAGAGTCTGGTCTACTCAGATTTAGCTATTTTTGATCAGGTTCTGAAAAGATAGATCTCAGGAAAAACTTCAATGAAATTTGTCAGAGTCTGGTTAGATTAATTTGTCAGAGTCTGGCTAGATTCAAAGAATGTTAGTAACATGTCTGACTTAGTTCAGATAATTGCTTATAGATTTGAACAATCAGATTCTATTTTGTTTCTCCCCCTTTTTGTCATAATCAAAAAGAATTTTAAAAGACAGTAAAGATGCAGAAGAAACACATATCCAGATAAAAAGATCAATGTCATTAAGATAGGAAAACAATCAGATACAAGCATGCAAGACATATCAGAAGAAGATCAAAAACAAAACAAAACATGAAAAACTTGTGCAAAAACATCAAGTAGGTTTAGCAGATGAGGCTTGTTGAGAAGCAATGAGTTGCAGCAATGCTGTAATCCTTTCTGAGTTCTCATCTTGCTTAGCCATCCAAGTTTTCATCTCTTCATTTGTCTTCTTTTGATCAACCATAAAATCCTTTAGTTCTTTGACATCCTTCTGAAGATCTGTAGATACTGAGATAGAAGATTCTGGAGCAGTGGATTCTGAAACAATCTGAGTGACATCATGTGCAGGAATTTCTGGAGGTGGAGGAGCTTCTAGAAGAAGAATAGGAGGAGGGTTTCTCTTAATCCGTTTTTGATAAGCAGCAAACCTTACTTTTGATAATCTAAGACATTGAGTCCTGATTTTCAAAGCCTCCCTATTCAATCTGTAAAGATATTTCTTCCAAACAGCATTAGCAGCCTCTTTGTCCATAGTAGTCATGCACACATCCATAATGTCAGCAAAGTCTGAGACATTATCCTTTTCAAAATCTCTTAACATAGTATAAACACTTGATCCCAATTCTGCTTCATCAGGGATTCTGGGTTGGGTTGGTTGTGTTTGTGGTGTTTGTTTAGAAGGTTGAGGTTGTGAGGATGGATGTTCAGATGTTTGTGGTTCAGAGGTTTGAGGTTGTGAAGATGGATGTTCAGATGTTGGTTGGTTGTTTTGTGGTTCAGATGTTTGTTGGTTGGTTGGTTCAGATGTTGGTTGTGGTTCAGATGTTGGTTGTGGAGTGTTTTGGATTTCAAGAGGTTGTGGATTGAGAGTTTGAGATGGGGAGTTTTGTGGAGAGGGTGGATGTTCAGAAGTGGGAGATATAAAAAGTTGTTTCCAAACACTCTCAGTACGAGGTTGTTTGAGATCATTCAAGCATTCATTAATGAAACCAGATGATTCATCATCAGATGATGTATCAGATTGGTTAGATTTTTCAGAAGTTGAAGATAAAATGATAGAACGGTTTAAGGGTGTGATATCTAATATCTCATTAGAATTAATGAGATTTTCAGGTTGTTCAGAGTGTTCAGGGTGAACATCCTCTGGAATGGTATGTTCTGGGATGGTGTTTTGAGGTTGTGGTGTTGTTTGTTGAGTTTGTTTGGATTGTGGTGTAAGAGTCTCAGATGGTCTAGATCTTTTAAATATGAGGGGTGAGTCAGATGGTGTGGGGGAAGCAGAATGAAGAACAGGATTAGAATCAGTGTTAAATACCTGTTTCAGAGTATCTCTTATCTCTTCAAAAGTTGCTGCAGGAGGATTTTGTTGAACCTTCTTCAGCTTCTTTCTTTTCTTCTTCTTTTCAGCATCTGAATGCTTTCTTTTCTTCTGATGACCTTCTTTATCAGCTT